TTTTTTTTTTTTTTTTGCCATGAAATAATAAAAGTATCTTCATTTCCTTTTGGACAGTCCTCTGGATCAGCATTTAGAAACCAGTGCACTGTGTTACAGCCAATACCTCAACATCTCGGCCAGGTTATCTCTGCTCTCTTTAAAGTAATTAATAGCTTTCTGCACTCCTGATTGGGCTGTCTTTGAGCATCAACATACATAAATAATAAATACAAGTAATAACAATTCCTCTCAAATACCCAAAGTCCTCTACCAGGACTTGAACAGTCCCTATCACCATCAAATAATAAATTCAATTTAAATTCATTGACAAACTCTGCCTGAATAACCTTTATGAGCACCGAGTACTTCAGGCAGCAAGTCCCATTGTGATAGGATGCACGTGTCATTCACCATCCGAACTGGGGCACTTCTGAGAGTGAAAGGTTAATACCAATGTAAGAGAAAGTGCTCTCCCCACCAATTAAGGAATGGCTGCTACTTTAAGGAGTTGTTGTTAAATGGTATAATCATAAATTGAGTGCTATAATCAAATTGTTATGAAAACTCTGAGGACAGAGCAATTAATTTAAGGAGTTGGGAGACTGCAGGGTGGTGATTAGGGGACCTTTCACACAGAAGTCTGGTTTACAGTGAACTAGTAAGATTTCACTCCTAAGAAGAGATTGAGAAGTACACTTCAGAAATGGCAGAGAGCTCATTAAAATCTGGGCTGCAATTTTAATATTGCCAGTTATAATGAAAACTATTAAAATTCATAAAGTATTGTCACATTTCTTACCTTTATAGAGCTTATAAATTTTTAAAATAAAAACAAAATAATGAGCAGCGCTTTCCCCTTGACTGTAGAATATACACACAAGATCTACATTTGAAACTCTACAAGCTGACGAGAAGGAGGGAGGAAAAGTGGAAAGGAAAAAAGAAAGCAAGTGACCGGCACATCCCACAGAACTCTTAATTTTCAGCAGTTTCCAATGTATCTTCTGGATTCAACATAGATTTCAAGGATTTATGTACGGAGCTATATATGGTAAGTATGCGACAGATTCAAAGGCCATATTCTCAGTAGGTATTATCTTTTGTGGCTCTGGGGCCAGCAACAAAAGACAAAGCTAGTCTATGTATAAATCCTCTAAGTTATTGTTTACATTATGATAATTTTTTCACATAATGTAAAAAAATGGAACTTAATGTGTCAGTATCTCACAACTCACACTAAAGATTACACATTTGAATGCAATTCATGTGTGACGCCTTTACCCAGTGCCACATTTTACAAGATTCTCCAAGATTCGACTTTTTTCTCATCACCATGGCAAGCTGGAAAGCTGCCACACTGTTTTTATTTCCTCTTCCTTTGTTAATTTCCAGTATCTCGATTTTCAGCAAAACATCATGGTACTTGGATGCTTATAACAGTATCACCAAGTCAGACAAATACACCTAACCACATAAATTCAACATGTGAACTAGATCAGTGTTTCAAAGTGTGTAAAAAGGTGTAGTCATGGGCCGGGGATTTAGCTCAGTGGTTCTGCTGCATGCCTCACAAGTGCAAGGACCTGAGTTTGATCCCCGGTACCAAATCAAAACAAAAGAAAAAAAGGTGCAGTGATCCCCTACAAGAACTACGGAAATGCCATCTCAGTGAAAACAATAAGGGTTATTCTGGGCAATTAGTGTATAGCATCAGCTAAGTTATAAACTCAATTACTGATGGCTTACCCTCTAAAACTATTTTCAGAAATCATAAAATTTTATAATTAGAAGGGTCTATAGAAGTCAATTAGTGCAACCTTAACTAATTAAAGCTCTGTATTTAAGCTCAGGAAATCATGGACCATGAGTCCACTTATGTTACTTTTTTTAAAATAAGACATTTCCCTTGATTTTCAAAATTCGGGAATAATAATTCCATTTTTTATATTTACACATTTCGCTAGAACAAGCCAAACTCTTCATACGTCCAAGACAGTGTAGGCATAGTAAGCTTGATTTATTTGACTATAATTTAATCCAATTATCTAAGCTCTAAATGTGAAAAAATGAATTGATGTGAATAACTGCTTTGGTCTCACAGTTTTAACTAGGTTATCGGGTGTCACTCATTCCATGACCTCAGGATGCAATGAAGGCAACAATTTCAAATGTCATGCTTTTGCCTGCTGTGATCCACATGAAGATCAGTGGAGTTTAAACATTTTTATATGCTTAATAAGGACAGATTCTTCTACACACCCTTCATATAATCACATGCAAATTTTCCTCATTTGTCTGTTATGTTGACAGAATTATCCAACATGGCTCAAATCACAAAACATCACAAAAATGAGATTTGTTTTCTATGTCCAGTAACTGGCAGAAATAAACATTTAGCCGAAAGCTAAATGGATTTAACCAAGACTGTCCACCAGAAATCCACAAAGCTGAATCCTTAGTAAAAAAGAGAAAGCGGCTTCTCTTTTAAGGGCACATAGCTAATGAAATTTGCTTTCTTTGAGAAAATAAGGTTGTTAATCACACATTATTATAGCCATTCCAACACCTATTCTCTTTCCTTGACCTCAATGCAAGTTCACATTTTAATGAGAAAGTATAAGCAATTCTTTTGTAAAATGCCCACAACCTCAATTTACAGCATAATCACATCCATGCTTACAAAATCTGTCCTTTTCCCTTTGATACAGTTGCACTGCTTGCCCTCCTCTTGGAAACCACGCTCTCCATTCTTACTGGATCCTAATCGTCTCACCTTCTCAACAGAACCATTCCAGTGACGGTTTACTACACGTTTTCAGTCACTTTTCCTCTCTGCTACGTTATTCTCAGCAGCATTTAAAAAATGCACTATCATACACAAAAGAAAAGGAGGGATGGATGGAAAAGAGCGTTAGGGCCAAAGGAGGGAGGACAGAAGATGAGCAGGGGAAGGGATGCAAGAAGGAAGGGTAGGAGAGAGGAAGAGATGGAGAAGGAAGCACGAGGAGAGAGAAAAAGATCTAGAAACAACCCTCCCACACCTCCTCTGCTGCCTCTCTTACTATGAGGCTTATCTTGTCAAAACTAATCCCTTTTTTGCTTGGCCTCTCAGAATGTACTGCCCTTCAGAGTTTCCATAGAACCTAGGAAATAGTGCTTATGATCATAAATGATTCTGGTCAAACAGAAGCTTCAGCACCAGCCCTGTGAGGAGGCAAGAAAGGGATTCAAGGACACGTGCTGGAGTCAAAACACTGATCACATTAGGAGAGGAGCTGGCAAAGCCCCATAGCCAAACACTAGATCTCCTTCCAGAGTCTGACTGATACTCAGCCCTTCCAGATCTCTGTGGCTGCTCTTAAATGCAATGGGAAGTGGGAATTCATAGTGTTCTCCACTTCATGCCCACTCCCATCTGTGCTGGGAACCAAACCCAGTGCCCTGAGCAAGCGAGCCAAGCACTCCACCACCAAACTACATCCCCAGGCCATTTGCATCTCCAATATTATTCCTGCCTCTGTGAGTTTTCCTCAACCAACATAGCTCCAGCAGGCTTGGTATACATGCTATTAATCATTTATGCAACCATACTGTCCATTAATATTATTTCAATACTGCTATTATTTCAACGGTGCCACTCTAGTTACAGCAAAACTCCTTAATAGTTACCTAAACTTCTGTCTCCATTCTTCTCTTCTAGTTTACTTCTGAGACCATCGCAGAAAAGCATCGTCTCTTCCATTACTCTAAACAACTCACAAGAGACGATGCTTTTCTGTGATGGTCTCAAAAGTAAACTAGAAGATAAGAATGGAGACAGAAGTTTAGATAACTATTAAGGAGTTTTGCTGTAAACTGGCAGTTTACAGAACTGTGCACTGGCAGTTCCTGCTCCCTCACCCTGCTTCATTTTTCTCTCCATCGTATTTCTTGCCCTTTGACATATCACATAATAACTTTTATTGTCTATATTCACCCATGAAAAGTACACTGGAACAAGGACTTTGCTTTCTTCTCTACCATACTCCCAGGACTTAGGACAACACCAGCCATACTGTAGGTGTTCATTATATATTTGTTGAATGAACAAATAAATAAATAAATTCTGAACAAATTAAACCATATTTTCTATGTTTCAATCACAGTTTGATGCAAATTGCAGTTGTTTAATACGCAAGTCAGTAACCTCTAGTAGTCCTGCAAGAGTCTTTTCTGTAATGGCTAATGAAATACTTCATTTCCAAACTAAATTCCTATCCTTGGGTCACTATTTTCAAACCATCTTCCAGCCCTTCTGAAAGAACCCTACATAGATTAGTATTTAATCTTTTCATTACTCCATGACATTCTCAAAGATTGAGTAAAAAACACATGTCAAAACAATTTCTCCCTGTTTCTTCTGATTAAAATCAATATTCTTCCTGCTCTTAACAGCAGTAAAAATCAACACAACAGTTTCTGTTAACCCAATAGAATGTCAAGTGATATCTTTGTGTATTGTTACCAGCAGGGATATCAACAAAATACCACCAACAACCTACAATCATTGCTGTTTTTATTATCTACAAAATGTCATGTGTTCATATGGTATTTCACAAAACAACACAGTGAAAACAATGACCCCCATCTCAAACAGCTCGGTACTTATTTAGACAAAGAACTGAATAATAGGGAGGCAAAACTCAAAAGAGGGCCCTGCTGTTGTTGAGAAAAGAACACAGTTGATCCAGGTGGTTAGGGCAGCTTTAAGTCTCCTTCCTGTTTTCAGGCCTATATAGTTTGACTTTGCTCTTTGAATCACAAACAGCAGCTGTAACCCTAACTGACCTTCTCAAAATACAGCTCTCTGTTGGTCACTGAGGAGATAATTTAGAACATAACCACCCATAAAACATTGTTAGAAATGCCAAACAATAAACAGCCCACATTTCTCCAAGAATTACTAGCACATCTTGTAAGACGTTATTATTTAAAGAAAATTGGTTCATTCCAAAGACAATCTCATAAAAATTGTATTAAGCTTAGACTAAAAATGAATTTCTAAGTTTATATAGCATAGGATGTCTAATTGGGATTCCGATTGCAATGAGGGTT